TTTTTTTAGAAGACTGAAGAATTGGTGCTTGTGGATAGGCTAGGGCTTTGCAATAATAACCTTCTAATAAAACACTGTCCAGTTGAACTTTCTGTAATGATGGAAATGATCCACATCCGTGCTGTTTAGCATGGTAGGCACTAACCATATGTGGCTATCAAGCACTTGAAACGTGGCTATATGACCCAGGAGCTGAATTTTTAATTTTATTTAAGTAATTTAAATGGACAGTGCAGAGACTTCTAATGTTTCCAAACAAGCTGAACTAAAAAAACCATCAACAAAGGCCTCTGAAGCCAAGCGAAGATCTGAAGATCTGTAGTGCTGCTGAAGATCAAGGTTCCCTGCACTCTGCCCTCTGGTGGCTGAGGCTTCCTATGAGCTCATCCTTTCCTTGAGCCAGGGCTTCTTAGGACTGGAATTCTGACTTTATGGGTCTTTTAGTCAGAATTATAACCGCATTGATGAATTTGCCACTAATGAATTTGTCTACAATTTCATTTTCTCTCCTTTGCTCACTACATTCTAGCCATAAGGGCCATTTCTGTTTCTAAAAAATGTCAAGCTCATTATCGCTTTCGGGCCTTTAGCATCTGCCATCAACTCTGCCTAAAATATACTTTCCTGGCTGTTTCCTTTTTATCACTCAAGTCTTAGCTCAATGTCACCTCCTGAAAGGCCATCCATGACCACCTTATCTAAAGTCCTCCCTATGCCCAGGCTTTATCGCATTGTCCTGTTTTAGTCTACAGATAGAACAGTAATCATTAGCTAAAATTGTTATTGGTTTACCATATGTCCGTTTGAATATGAATTGTATGCAAGTAGAAGTCTCTTCTGTCTTGTTCAGGACTGATAGTGTCTGGCACATAGAAAATGGAGGCCTAGAGAGGATAAGTCACTTCCCCAAAGTCGCAGAGCTAGTCAGTGTTGGCCAGACTTCATGGCTCCCAATTCAAGGCTCTTTTGGTTAAAATGTAGCTACTCTGCTCAAATTCTCTTTCCAGTTGCAAGAAAGAAAAAACAGGGACAGAGGGAGGGAATAGAAAGAGAAAGAAAAGAAGAGGAAGGAAGGGAAGGAGGGAGGGAGGGAGGGAGGAAGTGCATGCACCTCTAGAAATTTTGTCAGGTCAGAGCCTTGCAGTTTTGAGCAGGTTTTGCTATTGCATTTTACCTGCAAGACATTTTGCTCTAGTGTTTCACACAGTTTATAATGTCCTACTGTATATTCCCAGAAGGAAATCTATGAACAAGCAGATGTTTGTGGTTGAGGATAATTATTCCAGATCCTAAGCTTCCCCTATTAATGCTCTTTGCTTCACAAAACAATTAGCCTTTTATCTCACTCATAATATGTATTTCTGGTAGAAATAACCCCAAAGCAAACTGTTGACATATAGTACATTGACATATAGTACACTTCACAATTTACTAAAAATTGTAAAAATTGTCCCACTCTATTTTGTCTGAAAAAATAAACTCAAAATAAATCTGACATTGGCGAAAATAGAATTTTTGACTAAAATTTGTCTGGAATCTTGATAGAATTTAGATCTGTCAAATAACACCAAGGAAAAAGGGACTAACTAGAAATAATGCGCACAAAAGAAACGTGCAAGGGCAGAAATAAGTAAACATTTTATATGCCACCCTACCCATCCCCCACCTCCATCCCCCTGGGATCGCATAGCAAACTAGGTAGAGGAGACAAGTCCCCAGCCCGGAGGAAGAGCAGCAGGTGGAAAACGTGTTTCTGCTCCTGTTCACTCACCTTTATTTATAGCAAGAAATACTGAATCTATAAAGAAAAGAACTGAACGCGATGAAAATTCTGTAAACTGAAAATGTGTGAAAAACAGAAATGGTTTAAGCGTTCTCTTAATAAAACAACAACAAAAAAAAACCGACCAAGAAATAAGATCCGCTCAACAGATAGATTAGAAGCATTCCTTCCATGCTAACTGATCAGCGTTGGCATAATTCATGTTACAATGTCCATATTCAAACAAGGTGTCAAAGCCTCCCAATCGCAGCACCGCTAGCCCGCCTGTTTAGGGGCTCGCTGCTTTCTTTTCTCTTCTCTCAACGCCGGTCTCAACTCTGGCCGGCTGGCACAAGTAGCTCTGGAGCAACATGGATGAAAAACGCTTTTCGAGACAAGTCGCAGGGGATCAGCGCCCCGAAGCCTCGGCGCTGAGCACGTCGGGAGTTGTAGTAGCGGTCCGTCGCACAGGTGGGCGGGACGTGTCCGGAGTCTGCGCAGGCGCACACTCCCGTGGGCAACATGGCGGATGCGGCCCCTCCGCCCGGCAAGAGAAAGCGAGAGCCGGACGCCGCGGATGCGGAAGCAGCCGGCAAAGAAGACAAGGACGCCAAGGAAGCTGGCATTGGGAATGGCACCTCTGCCTCTGTCCGCTTTCCTTTTTCCGGCTTTAAAGTGCAAAAAGTGCTAAGGGAGTCCGCGCGGGATAAGATCCTCTTCCTACACGGGAAGGTACCACAGGCAGCTCTGGGCGGGGACGCGGGTGTGTGACCAGTCACCGCCGGAGAGGCGGATCTTGTAAGCGCTCGGCCGGGAAGTACCAATCGCAATCTTGGGGGGTGGCGGGGACAGCGCACCTTTAGAATGTTTGGTGGCAGAAGGCGTGGAGGAGACACGGTCACCCGTGGAATTAAGGGAATTAACATACGCACGGCTAATTTTCCTAATTCCTCCTTTGCTAAAAAGTAACCACTAACACTTGTAGAGTGTATTGCATATTAAAAATCACGTGTTAAATTCTCCAAGCCATTCATCATTTATTCATTCAACCTATAAAGGTGCTAGGAACCCAGTAAATGTTGTGGGACCGGCTTGCTCATCCGTGCCCCTGGGAACAAGAGACTAGTAGATATGATCCCTGCTGTACAGGATTCTAGCCCTAATAGAGGAGACAGTTTATTAAATTGGTAATTCAGTTCCACATACTCTGTACCATGCACTGACAGGCCGACACTGAGCTAGGTACCGGGGATGTAGAGATGAAAGTTACCATCTCTGATCTTCAGCAGTGCAGAGTACCTCCCAGTAGACAGATACACATAGCTGGCTCTAATACCATGGGCTGTCTAGCAGGGACTGAGGAGACACTGGAGACCATCCTGGGAACTGGTGAGGAGACCTAGCCAAGGGCAGGTATTAAGGTTCCCCAGAATGCCTAGCAAGAGCTCTCATTTTGGGAGGATCCGGGGACCTGCGGCTAGGTTTCCATACTACTCCCTGTGTCTCTTGTTTTTGTTTTTACAAGGTTCTGTCTGGCTCTCTTAGCCCAACCTGCCTTCAGTCTGCAGCACCTGCTGAAGATTTTAGCCATGAGACCTTTGAACTAGGAGTTAGTCGATATAGCTAGATGCGCTGATTGTACCTATAACTTTGGGCAAGTCACTTAATCTCTCTAAATTACCTCCGTTTCTTCATCTGTAAAATGGGGAGAATTTGACAGGCCTCATAAGCCTAAAATGGAAGGCAACTGAGAAGCTTTGCATATTTCAGAAGAAAGATATGAGCATTGCCACAAGCATTTGGGTTAAGGAGATACCTCCTCTGGGAGGAGAAACATGAGTGCTATTGGCTAGACTTGCCCGGAAGGAAACTGCAGGGAAGGAAATCCCATGTGTTGGGAATTCCGAGCCCCCGAGAGCTTCTGCCTCTGTTCTCCAGACCTCACCTGTGGCTCTGCCTCTGGGTCCACTGATGATGTCTCTGCCCACAGGTGAATGAGGCCTCTGGGGACGGGGATGGAGAGGATGCCGTGGTGATCCTGGAGAAGACACCATTTCAGGTGGAACAGGTGGCCCAGCTCCTGATGGGCAGCCCGGAACTCCAGTTGCAGTTCTCCAATGATATCTACAGCACCTATCACATGTTCCCTCCAAGGCAACTGAGTGGTGAGCAAGTGCTGGCTGAAGTGGCTGCATGTGGAGAGGGTAGGATGGTGGGAAATTAGGGGTTGCGGTGGCTACTCTCCATAATCTGACTTGCATATTCTTTTTTTTTTTTTNGGGCCCTCTGGTGTCCCAAACCAGCTCTTAACCAACGCGCCACTCGGCCAGCCCTGTTTTATTTATTTTTTAAATATTGTTTTTGTTTTAAAGATTTTATTGGAGAATTGGGGAAGGGGAACAGCCAAGTTGTTGTCCTTCAATCTTAGTTGTGGAGGGCGCAGCAAGCTCAGCTCCAACCAAGTCCAGTCACCCGCTCAACTCAAGGTGCTGTGTTCAGTTTTAGTTGCAGGCGGTCGTAGACCACCATCTCAAACAGGCAACCCTGTTGTTAGGAGCACGTGCTCTCACCAGTTGAGCCCTTCTGCCACCTGTAGGCAGCTCAGCAGCAGCTCAGCTAGGGCGCAGCTCACTGGCCCATGTGGGAATCGACCTGGCGACCCTGTTGCTCAGAGCTTGCGCTCTTGAGCAAGCTCTTAACCAACTGAGCCACTCAGCCGGCCTGTTTCATTTATTTTTTAAATAGCTGGCTCTTTCATTGAGGTGATGGATCCTTAGATATCTGGGTTCTATGGGAAGTTCTCTCTTCCAATTCCTCTCCTGGCACAAGTCCAGGTCTTGTCTTGGGTACCTTAAATATCATATTTAAAGCCCAAGGTTCTACATTTCTAGACACCAGAAATCACTCATAGAACTTCAGCTTCAATATCCACTTACCATTCTACAGATTTGTGCTCCCAGATTTTTCATTTCTGAATATTTTATTTTGTTGAGAGAGCTGTAATGTGACCAAAAGGGTGTTTTCAATCTTGCATCCAGAATTTTCAGGTGTTTTTAGCTGACATGTTTTTAGAATATCTAGTTAGTTATAATACCTGAAATGGAAGTGTCTAGTCCTTCTTTAAAAAGATTTGTGGGCCGGCCAAGTGGCACGATGGTTAAGAACTGGCTTGGGATACCAGAGGGCCCCGGTTCAGATCCCACATGTGAGGGCCAGTGACACTGCCCTCTACAGCTAAGATGCTGAACAACAGCTCAACCTGGAGCTGGGC